TCATCCAGACCCTGTATGTTCTGCAGTCCCCCCTCTCTCTCTCTCTCTTTCTCCCTCTCTCTCTGTTCTCTCTCCCTCTCTGTTCTCTCTCTCTCCCGGCGGGGATTTAAATTTGGGAAAGTGCAGCAGCGTCTGTGGCGGCATCAGAACGGGTGCTCATCCTCCGGATCCGCACACAAGAGCTGCATTAGAGACAGTGGATAAATCAAGGGGAATATTAATAGTCAGCGCCCAGTCAGTGTGTGTGTGTGTGTGTGTGCGCGCGCTGACGTCAGACCCTGCCCCCTAAAAGCTGAAGTGAACCGTGCAGAGGGAACATTTCATTGCAAAGAAACAAAGGGGAAATGTGATGCACACAAAGCAATAATGCGATAATAAAACACGCGGCTGTCACGTGACCCGGGAGACCACGAGTAAACCACCACCACCACCATCATCATGCATTCACCAGAGGTTCAGGGAGCAACGCTATGGGAGGTGAACCCCTAAATAACAAGCACTTTTTAAATCACATTCAATCCCACTACACATGTTTCATACGTGAACAAACAAATCTCTGAGGGATCCGTCTGCAAAGATTTATGCTCTGGATTCAGTTATAACTCACTACATTGTCATAAAATGCTGGCATAACAATTATTTCTCGTGATGAATTACTATTTCAATGAACTTCAGAGCTGGAATGGTTCTAATTAATCATTTATACATCCAAGAGAAGCAGAGAAACGCAGTTTATCAACCTCAGCATATAAGTCAAAGGTGAACAAAAGTAGCCTCTGGTTCAAGCTATGTCTGCAAATAATACGGCTGGTGTGAGAGACTAAAGCTCTCATAGATCAGAAAATGATTTCCCATCATGAAGAAGTCACAAGAAAGTCTGAAAATGATGCAAATTAAAAGTTTTTCAATGTGTCTTGAAAGTGAATATTTAGATCAGCCTGCTGCTAGAAGACAAGGCTAAGAAGAAGAGGGAAATTGAAAAAATAAAGTTGCTGACCACAAAAAGCAGAACAATGTCTGGAAAGATGCTGAAACACTACAGGGCGGAACAGAGGAACAGCAGAGTATCTACATCTACAGTTTAGTGATGACGGGTAATAGCTTTTATGCTACATAGTTGTTTCCCTCTTGCTGGCATGAAGTGATTGATAAGTGCAGATGTAATGAAAATCCTTTTTCAATCCTATTTTAAATGATCTGCTTTTTCTTTTTTTTTGCTTGTGTTGAATACATTTAAGTTTTTTAGTTTTCGTTTGCTGTTAAAACGACAAATGTATATCTCTGTGTATATCTGTATATGTGTTTTTTCTGCAGAGAATAGTAAGAACAGGGAGCCAAGCATCTTACTTTTGCCCCTGGACCATCCAACAGGCAAATTCAGCCATGGGTCAGATATGTAACATAATGTGGGGTCATATATGTAGAAAAGATACTGACATGTACTTTTAGTCACAAGTGGGAATTTTTTCTTTTCTTTTCTTCTCTTGAGAAATTTAAATGTAAGTCTGAATGAGTGTGTATAGAATGGCAAGAGAATGACTGTCCTGAGAATGCGACAACTGTTTTCAGACATGAACTCCAGAGGATGTCCACAGAATTGGGACCTGCCTTTCTCTGGAGTTTGCAAACAGCGCAGCGGGAGATCCTCCCCTCAGTCATGTTCCCAACACAGAAATCTCCAGAGTGTTCAGGTGAGGGGTGGTGGAGATCACATGTTTTTGTTGCACACCAGCGCTGACTCTCATCAACAAAAGCTCTTTTGACATCTTCGTCACTGTGTCTTACATGTCAGGCTCCTTCATCCTGAGAAGTTCTTTTGATTTTCATTTTTGCGTCTGTCGCATATTAAAAAACTCATTAACACTCTATCGCTGATGGTAAAACCTGCGGAAGGTCTCCTGCTGTGTTCCCTTGTGAGCTCCTTCAAACATTCTGCAGACTTTGTAGGGGGCAGGCTGGAGAGAGTCCACAAAAAGTCTGGAGACTCTCAGTCAGACATTTGCGTTCACACATACAGCCCCTCTGGAGAATGTCCAGAGGTTCTTAGGAGTTTAGTGCATGTCTGCAAGCAGGTTTAAAGAGCCATGAATAATAGATATAATATTTATAGAGGGCACGTGATAAATAAGGCTTAAATAGGAAAAACCCTAGCATATATTTTTGTCGCAGCATTTTAAAAGTCTAAGTGTTATAACTGTACAGTACTCTTATGTAAATTGTATTACTAAAGAAACTGTATACAGCAAAGTAACAATGGACCACTAACCAGCACCGTCTCCTGTGTTTCTGGCAGTCAGGTGCTGCAATTCAAATGCCATCTGTCCTGGATAAACAACTCCTCTCTGTCTAATCACTTGTCAGATAAGGGAGAGGGGGAGGGATTATGTAACAAATAAATGAAAATGCCCCGCTGTCTATGGTAACTGTGTGTTTAACAGTTATCAGCAGGAGGAAATTAGTTTCCTCCACCAGGTCGTTCTGTGCTTTTGTGGCTCTCACTGACCGAGCGAGCCCACAATGAGCGCTTTCCTCCCGTTCCCAGCTTCACCCTCCGCTTAAAAATCCCAAAGTCAGTTGCTGCTTTCTCTCATGGCGTTTTGCCATAAGCTGCGAGCACTCTTGATTAAGAGAGAAGCACTATTGATTTTTTTTTTTTCTTTTTCAGACGGCTGCCAGAGCCATATAGTCTGAAAAAACAAAAAACCTTTCAGAGGTTACGCAGCAAGGACACCAATTCCAATATGAAGCTCAGAGGATGATTTCTAGTCTGTGAAAGTAAAAGTAATTTGATTTGGCGTATGTATCTTGTGATGTAATTTACACAGTGGATGATCACACAAAAACTCAGCTCATATCGTCAATAAAAACCATTGTGTGCAGACAGATGAGAAACACAAAAAATAAATCTTGGTAAATAAACACAGATGATTCAATTCAGGGCAAACCAAGGTAATGAATGAGTATAATGAGTATGAAATTGATGTGAATGAACACCTGTAGGATATTTTGGAGCGTGCGCTCCATTTTTATCCACCTGTTTTTATGCACATGTTCAATTTGGGCATAAAAAAGGCAGATTGGAAATATAAAATGGAGCTTTGCGCTTGGTTAGGGTGACAACGAGAATTGTCATGTGACTCAAATATCCACTGAAAACTCCACTCCATTAAAGAGAAGAAAAAGTGGGGCAGATGGAAATATACCTGGGGTTTTATTGTGGGAAACCACCAGCAGGGCTGAAGCAGGGAACTGATTAGCGTCTATATTGAACATTCAGAATCAGCTCTGAAACAAATAACTAAACCGTCAACTCCATCGATTCCCGAATGGAAAGTAATAATGCTGGAAATGTGAGACAAGCCACCATACTGATTTTTCACCCCAACAGATAATTCTGTTCAGTTAAACTAACATCATTTCTTTTTGATGACCAATTGCAAATGAGGAAGTGATTCTATGAATATTGTTGCCATGACGGAGATCTACAACCGCAACACCTGTAAATGTTTGTGTCGGGCCAATGGACTGAAATAAAAAGTAATGAAATACTGAAAATGATCTGGCGGGACGGATATTATTGCCGCCAGTTGCCGACCACTGTTGTAGAAGCTGATAAAATAATCAGTAACAGAGATTTCTGGAATTAGAGCCTACGTATTATTTTCATCGGACCACAAACATTTATTTATAACCTATATAAGCCAATCATTGTGAAAGTCACTTCCACTCCATCTAAATTTCCGAGTAATTGCAGTTTGTTATTGTAGCTCTGCGACCACAACACTGTTGATTTTACGTTCCCACAGCAGTATCAAGCTGTACTCTCACCAGAGGGCCTTGGCCTGTGTGACTGCAGGTCACGAGTGTGCGAGTCATGGGGTGCTCCACATGGACAAATAACCGCAAACTGTTTTCTCTGTCCCTCTGCCTGCACTGTCTGCAGTGTCTGCGCCATCATTGAGGGCATGCAAGCTTTTAATTATCAAGGCCGGACACATGATCCCTCCACCAGATCTCGGAGGAGGCCCAGTCATTAGATCGTGTTTCTTTCAGCTCACTCAGACGACCATAGAAGCGCATCTACAAGAGCAATTCATGTAATATGAAACAGAAAAACATACTATATCCTTGACCTTTCTATTATTGGTTATAGTGAATTGTGGAGTTTCAGCTGGCCTGTGAGTTTATTGATCTCTGATATCATGTAACAGGTAGAGCAACTGCCAGGATCGATAAACCAGTAATCCAAGACTTACACACAGGAAAACAGTGTTTTGAATAAATATATAAAAGATAAACTCCATGTCATTGCTGTGGCATGCAGCCTTGTAAAAAAAAATAAGTCCAAACTGTCATTATTCTCCTGGACAGCAGTGGTTATCACTATTTCACATTAAAAGCAGCTTTCCTTTAAAGCAGGTGTTGCAGAACTCTGCAGAACATTCATGTGTCTCAAACACAAATGAGCCTTTGCATTAGAGAGATTTGTACCCACAACAAAGTTGTTCCTGTCGTTTCAAAAACCAGCAGGGAACCAGAGGATCGTACATCTAAGACGTGTCAAAATGTCTGAATAGACAAAACAAACTCAAGATTATTGAAGAATGTCGCAGAGTAAATGCTGATATTGGTTAACACAAGAGATCATCGGCACAGTCTGAAGTGCAGTAGCAAAAAAAGATAATCACACATCAGACACCACAGAAATCAATTACATAACATGCAGGATGCATAAACAACTTGTCTGCCTGAGGCCCTTCAGGTAATAACAAGGCTAAATTCATGTCAACACTACAGGCTAACATGCATTCTTCAGCTCCACTGATGAGTACACGTGACCAGGAAATCCACATTTCATCACTCGCTGGCTGCTTGTTCCCTATCCCGACGATAATTATTAAGAGAATTACATACACGCGGCACATGTCATTAGGAGGCACTGTAAAAAAAAAAAAAAAAAGAGAGGAGAAGAAAAAGGTTACACATTGAGGCCCGTGGGCTTCTGCATCTTTTTAAGTGCTGGTAATAAAAACTAGTCGCCACCTCTTTGAGAACTCCTGGCCAATGGGAGCCCCTTGAACAAACTTTTATGTGACCTCAGAAAATGCTTGAGCATCCTCGGTGCTGCTGCTCTCAGTCAGTCCTCAACATGCGCAGGTAGGACTGACTTCAGGGAAGGAATTTCACGTCCTTGCAGGCTCATTCTACTACTTCTACTAAACATGGCCCTCCGCAGCTCCGCCTCGACCAGGTAAATATCTCAGCTTTTACTTTTGTTAGGTCTCTCTCATCAGGAACCTTTGTTCTCTGAGCTTTTGATTCATTTCTAATAACAAAGACCCATTTCAGACTGGGTGTCCACTAATAATCTATTTCTAATCTTCATGAAGAAGAAGGAAAGATCTATATTTTCCTCTCACTGCCAACTCAGTTGCTTTTAGGATGCAATAACATCTTCAGTTTAAAGGTACAGTGTGTAGAATTTTGTAATATCTAGTATTGAAATTGCATGTTGCAGCTGAACACCTCTCACCTCACCCTCTCCTTCCCAACATGAAAAAGAAACTGTGGTAGCCTTTAATTGAAATAAAAACTCAAAAGGTGTTTAGTTTGTCCAGTCTGGACTAATGTAAAAAACATGGCGGCCTCCATAGAGAGGGTCCCCTCGATGTGAATATAAAGTATTTAAATATAAAGGGTCTTTTCTGGGGTAAAGAAAACTACAATTCATACAATTTAGATGAAACGTACGAGTGAGAACATCATGAAGATTATTCTACATTAAATTTCTGCCAATAGTTCCCTTTCACCTAAATCTTACACACTGGACCTTTAAAGATGCTGACCATATGTACATGAATCTGTCCACACTCCCACATGCATGCAGTCTGCATGATATTTTAGTAGCCTTAAGTGATAAACACCAATCTTCCGGCCTTCAGCCCTTCAGTGTTCCCATTGAATTTGTCAGGGGAAAGCCAGAGTGAAAGAATTCACATCTTCATCTCTTAGGGCACATTCACTCGTCTTTTCTGCACCAGTCCATTTTAACATGACTGATCTGTGCAGCTGGTTGCTGTATGCTCAGCGCCAATCTATTTTGGACCAACAAAGACAAATGAGAGAGCAGAAAGTGTTAGGAGTGTTTTCTCCCCCTCAGGGATTCAGTGAGCACCTTAACAACATCACAAAGTGGGTGACAGTGAAGGGAAAGTCCCATCAAATGTTGATGAATGTTGGGAATTAAAGTAGATTACCTGTCATTACCTAATTGACTTGACTGATTGATTACATGACGGCGTATTTACCGGAAAATATGGGGATTTTTTTTTGTGTCCTATGATGTTTTCCTTTGGAAGTGACTTTTGAACTGTGGCAGTATAAATACAGTGTTGGTGTCTCTCTGTGTGTAACCACAGCTCTAAAAAACCTTTAATCTATGAGCATGCACATATATTTTGCATTAAATGTAACGGTGGTGCATGTTTGATGATGTTTCACTTCAGTGTGGGTGAAAATGTACATTACAGAATCCCTGCCTGCTGCACAAACTAAATTTAGTCCCTGTCTACTCTCCAAATCCTTCAGATAGCTTTCATTTCAATACTGTGAAATGACTTTAAGCAGCAATTCTCTCTGCATATTTTTTGCTGCATCAACCTAAATGTGAGGATATATAAATGGTCAATGATCTGTAAAGTGATTTTCTAGTCTTCATGACCACCATTCATACAGTGCATCTACGTGCAGCACTCTCTCTATAAAAGGGGCAACTTGGGGGTTTGGCATCTTGCCCATGTGGAACCTGAGCCACAACCCGAGAAGCTCCGAGATCATACAATGCTAACAGAGAGGTAAATAGGAGATCATTGGCGGGAAACAAATTTCTAAATCATTTTGATTTGCTGTATCAGCATAGATACATGTACACAGAGATAGACTTTAACAATGGCTTCAAATGAAGAATCAGATTCTAGGAAGACATTTTAATTCATTCATTTGAAACAAAAGCAACAAGGACATTTTTACCAGAAAATGTGATAGAAAAACTTTGGATTTCTTGTCATCTCAGTCAGTACTACATGCAATTTAGCCAATCATCTAAAACGTCTCGCACACAATGTAGCTGTCACTTTTTGTCACTTTTTTGATTAATAGAACTCCAGACAAGTCAACACACTGTAGAACAACTGGATATGTACCAATGCTGGCAGTTAAATAAAATCCCAAATCGACACTACAACACTCCATTCAACTCATTTGATAGGAGATGTGCACTATTTGTATCCGTTTTCCCTCTCTATCTAAGTTCAGTATGACTATAGTTCACATCTCTGAATCCCAAAGCAAAATCAATACTGGTGTAACACTGAAGAACTAAAATATCTTTGTAAAACTGACTCTGGGGGCCACTTACCTCAGCTTAAAGGTTGGAAGCAGGCGGGACAAGAGATGGCCTGGGTCTGTCAAAAAACAACAAAAAAAAACCTGTCAATACACAACACGTTGCATATTGTTTAATCCGTACAAAGAGCTGATGAAAACTATCCTTTTTACAGGAGGTTATTTGTGATGTGTCTCCTGAAAGCATCTTCAAGTTAGGGGTCTTGGGTAGCTAACATGTTCCCAGGGTCACATCTTGCCCATAATCCCACACCCCAACCATATTAACCTATTAAGTTCTTTCAAATGTAGGTCTATACTATTTACAGCCATCAAACAGGTACAGGAAACAGAAAACCTCTTTGACGAGATCCCTATCGGACACTGGGAACATTTAGGAACCTAGGACCATACTGTGGAACCTAGTGAACATGGGATGCAAGGAACACACTATAGGACCTTGGGGGTCATAGGACAAACTATAGGACCTTGTGAACATAGTAGCCAAGCAAACATAGGAGTGACCATTAAGATCGGTATCAACCCTTTCCTGTCTAACCATGCAACAGATCAAATTCAGTATTACCCAAACTCATTATTCATGAATGAATATGGGTTTGTAGATTTGAAGGGGTAAAACGGTGAAGAAATCCTTCATGTCACAAGTCAAACAGTGACAAGAAGCTGCATCAGTGCACACAATATATTGTATATAGTGTAGAACGGTGTGGAATGCAGACAGTGGGTCCCTCTGGGCTCTAAAGATGCTCCCTCGAGTGAAGGGCGTAATGTCAGAGTCCAACACCTCCTCTGAAGAGACCTTGCTGGCTTTGCCATTAGTCATTTCTCTGACAGTTCACACACACACACACACAAACACACACACACACACACACACTCTTCAGGCAGACACATTCATTTGCAAGACAGTCCACACACTGGAGATGGGTTAAGTCTTCAGTAACACACCCCTTGCCTCATTTGATTGCTCTGATTGACGAGCTTTGTATCAGAGTCACTATCAGTCATGTAGCTGATGGGTCTGAGGTTGCTGTGCAAAGACGTCGCCACTTAGGAGAGTTAAAGGAAACCAGTGTGATAACGTAAGCGCTTCCAGTGCATCACAGCTCAGACACATGTACTGTACTATACATATATTATGCTGCTGGAGTGGAGCAGGAACTCACACCTCTACCTAATCTAATTTTTTAAAAATGTGTCAATCTATATTGTTCCTCCTCCAATTGGCATCTAATGTAAAATCCCATTTGCTGGCATGCAAAGCACATTTTAAAGGAGCGGTGTAAAGTCTTTCTTTCTCTTCATGTGCCCAGGATGAGCAGAGGTCACCGGCACAGCACTTCATCTCATCTCTGTGTTTTATCAATCCTCACGCACAAGGAACTGTCAGAGAGAATTAGATGCATGACTGAATGCTGATTTTCTCCGTCATCCTCCAACAGAAAGCGACCGTGGCATCTATCGATGTCGGCCTACTCCACCGTCTGTGTGGCTCTGCTCTCCCTGCTCCTCGCTCCAGCACTTGGACGTAAGTCACCTGCAGCGCAGTGCACAATCACACTGACACACCACCAAACCAGTGTACTGTATATTGCATGAGAACCACTATTACTGTGAATCTGTTTGTCTGGTAAACACAGACTGAGAGGACCCAGGTTAATGTGACCGCCCGCTTATTGACTGTTGCTAGGATGTTCTTTTTATCAGAGCCCGCAAAGGAAAAGGCCAGAAAGAGCAGACGCAGTGTACTGGTCTGTGTCGTAGGATTAAATCAGATTAAACGTCCGCTCTGATAATCACAACACGCCTATTCTCTGCTGTTGTTTGGGAACACAACAAGTCCAACATGAATGAGCAGCGAGTGCGACATACAGTAGGTGCTGTGCTTTGTGACAGCCCGCTTCATTGTCACAGCACGCACACATGCAACCACATGTGACATCTTGATTGGGGTTTATCTCCCGCTCGTGGCACTAATGACCGGCTCTGTGAGCGTAATGCCGCGGCAGGCAGTAACTTTTACAACTTGAGGTCCACATGCACAGTCAGATAAGTGTTTAGTGGTTGTAAATATGGGACTATAAATACCGTCTCACCACTTTATCTCATTTCTCAGCAGTTATGTGGGATGTGGGAACAGCTTCCAGATGTGTTGTGTTCTCGCTGCTCACTGTAAATGAGCTGACTCAGGTTATTGACCGGGGAGCCCCTCCGGCTGTCACAATGCTCCTTACATGCAGTTTTTTCTTTGAGAGGCTTTTCCCCTACCCAGTGACTCAAAGGCAGCGCCCTCTTCTGACATATACCAGGAATTGCTTTTTCCACTCCATTAGAAAGCCCATTGACAGTGACGTTGGCATGTGTTGGCACCAACACCATGTGTACATAATGCTAGACCACCTACAATTTACATTTATATATTTAATATATTTTCAAATAGGAAAGACAAACCAAGCCGGTCTTATTTTGTAATTTTGTAAAATAAAAAAAGCATATTAATATCAAAAATATAGATTTTTTTAATCAAATGAAAGTGTGATGATATACTTAAGTTAGTTACAATCAAAGGTGAAGTCCATCATGATAAATCATGCACATAAATACAAGTGTCTCAGCTGCCATGTTGACCTTTGAAAATGTTTCTTTTGACATATGGCCACAGTCATGCAACACCAGCCACCTATCAGCATTATGCTTCCATATCTGTTGACATATTTGAATCACAAGCCCTGCATTATAAATCTCAGAGACTGTGTTGATTTGTCTGCGTTCACACTTCTGAGTGTGAACGCCGTTGTAAGGGAAACTCGCATTAAAAATGCACGGCAGCACATAGTGATGCTAATCCACTCAAACATTAAAGACCTTGCTTTTCCCTTGTGTCTGTCTCTCCAGACTGATGGGTAATATATTACATTTGTCAAATTCGGCGGAGAACAAGTGTAATGAAATTATTCGCTTTTTGTTTCGTCCTATCAGAACTCGACCTCAATCGGCTGGATGGTGACACAGTCTGCCCACCGATGAGGGGCGGACAAGATGACCTTCCAGGTAAAAGACTCTTTAGTGAAACCGGGGGGACACTTGGGAATGATAATTTATAGCTGAGCTGTATTCACACAGAGGTGAAGGCAGCAGTTGGAGAAACCACAAAGCTGAAACCTTGGAAATTCCCAAAAGAGAAAATAGACTGTGTAGAGAGAGGTGGTGAGTTTAATTAGTTGAACAGGGTGGGCTGCCTCATGCCTCAAGACACCTTTGGATTTCAAATGAGGCAAATAAAATGTTCCACTTGAGCTTTACAGAATTTTACTCAGAACAATTCAAACTCAGCAAGATTGTAATTGCTCACCACTGGGTTAGGGTTACTGTTTGAAACTGTTTCAACACATCTGCACACATTCTGTGTTGTCACTTAACAGTTAGTTTACCATGGGATGATTCATATCATTTTGTTATTTCAACATTAACTTTGTGATCATGAGCCAAATAATGACAAAATGTTCAAACACCATGCTAACTTACCAAAATGTAGAAATATCAATTAATAATGTGCATAACTAAATTAAATAATGATTCTTAAAATATAGCCTGATAACAATTTTATCCAGCAGTACACTTCTAATCCTAATGCTAATGTTGTTAGTCCTTCCTCTAAATATAAGCCAGTAACCGGTTAAAATGTGATGCTTGTCTATTTTATGCATTATGGTACAGGAGCATCCAAGAAGGAAACACACTCCTGTACCACAACACGTCATATTCTAAGCTTTGACTGAGTTGTCCATGTTTTCACAAATGACAGAAAGGAATAAAGAATGACCACAGTAACTAAACCAGCATATTCCTCAACTGTCAGCACAACATATTTCATTACCATCACTTCTCTTTGCTGAATTAACAGCACTAAGTTCAAAATGATATTACATGTTATCCCACACTTTATCTTAAAGTAAAGTTTGGGTTGTCATGGTTACAGTTACTGCTATATACATGTAGTAATATTTTGTGATTTAAATTCTGCGACACAGTATGAATGATAACTACAATGTCATTCCTCCTACAATAAGAATTTACTCTACATCATACATTTCCCCCTGCAGGGTTTGATCTGATCACTCAGTTCCAGCTGGATGTGATCTCCCTGAAAGGTGTGAGGAAGGTGGACGGCTCCACTCCCCTCCAGGTGGCCTACCGCCTCGACAGGGAGGCCAATTTCCAAATTCCAACCATGTAAGTACAGTAAAGAGGGTTTAAAAGCAAGCAGATAAAAAAAACAACACACGCATGTTGGTCTCCTGATGCAGGTGTTGCGTTATTACAGGTCTGCCACAGATGTTACTGCATGGCGAGCAGCATATAATTGGTAGAGGCAAACATGTCTGAACCTATTTGTCAATTCTTAGACACCAAAGTGAGAGTACAAGTATTTTTGTGAGTGAGCGAGTAGGTTGAAAAGCATGTTGTATTTTCAGGTAATGTCAGGAGACACAAAGTATTTCAGCATTCCTTCTTGGTAATGATTGATCTTGAGTTGTATGGAATCTTTAAAGGGTCAAAATAATATATGAAAATAAAAAAACAGGTGCTGACAGTAGCAGCCCCTGTGAAGAATATTTCCTTGTCTGTGATTAAAAGGTTGTGCTAGAAACATAGTTGGACTTTGAGGCCTGGGGAAAATTAAACATGGATCTAGATAGCGTCATCCCGCACCAATTTGAAAAAAAAAAAGTTGCATAGAGTGTAATTGTGACCATTGACATTTAGAAAGAAAAATATTTTCTATTAATTTTCTCTACTAATGTTACAAAATCCTTTTTATGCCTGATCAGCTTCAAAATGATCATAAACATTTGATTTAGAGCAAAATATATTGATAAAATGGGGCAGCCGCAACCTTTATTTTTGTGTTTTGCACAAGTTTAAGAAATTCTATTTAAAACATGAATGTAAAACATTGTTTTATGGATGGAGTGCTGCAGTTAATGGCCTCACATCTTTTCACAACACAAGGACGTTTCTGGTGTTTCCCAGTGAGTCTGCTCCGGTCTGTTTTGGCTAATCTTTTCCTGCGGGCCCGCTTCCCTTAGAAGCTCTTATGTAACTCACTGGCACCCTGCATCTACACCACTCTGTCCTGTCACTCTGAATGTAAATACATGTTTATTTAAGTCTAGTGGCACAGTCTGAGCTTTGAAGTCCATCCTTACTTAGGCTGCACTCCCTCACTGTTCTTCTGCAGGGCAAAAGCAGCACATACTTAAGACTTTCTCACCTCAGGCAAAGCTAGAGAGTGGTCTTCATTTGTTTTACTGGGTTACAGGAAACTCTCTTTTTATTGCCTCACCTTGATCGTTTACAAGATGGTAAAAGTCCGGCTGCAGCGCCCATCTATGAATGTACCACCTACTGAGGATCTGGCTTGTTAAAAGCACAGAAAGCATCAGACTGGGAATACTAACCACAACTGCATGCTGTAATTGAACCAGTGATTTATGCACTGAGGCAGTATCACAGTATTGTCTTTGTGATGCAGGAGCTGCCTTAAAGCCTACACTAGCTTTCGCTTTGAAGCTTGACATCAAATATATTTTCAGAGTTATAACCTTTACTGGTGAAGGATGTTTTTGAGCTTTTCCTCAATGTGTGATGAAAATGTGAAAATATCTGGAAGTTTGCTGGACTCGAATGTTCTTCCCTGGTAACTCAGCTGATTTTCAACCCTGGTCTTCTTTCCCCTCCCAGGCTAAACTTCCCTCGTGGCTTCCCAGATGAGTACTCCTTCATGGTGACCTTCCGCATGATCAAGAACACAGTTAACAAGGTGTGGAACGTCTGGCAATTAGTGGATGAAGAAGGCAACAAACAAGCCGGAATGAGGCTGAATGGCGACCAGCAGGCTCTAGAGTACTTCCTGATGGGTGCAGACGGCTACCTGCAGACCGTCACCTTCGCCGGTCTTTCTGTGCTCTTCAACACCAAGTGGCACAAGGTGATGATCGGCGTGGAGTACGATCAGGTCACTCTGTATGTGGACTGCCAGCCCGTGGATCGGAAACCCATCAAGGGCAAAGGTCCTGTCAACACAGAGGGAGACACTCTTATTGGCAGGCTGGATGCTGATCCTGACACCTCCGTAGTGGTAAGTAGGGATGGAGAATTGCCTACTGCATTGAATGATATTCATTGATTTTCCTGACAAGCTCTGTCAGTGAAATGGTGCTCTCTGTGAACGAACACATTCAGGTTTATATGTGTGCAGAGCTCTGCTATAATTCTAAAGTGTTGCTGTCACAGCAGAGCTGCTCAGCTGGGTTCCAGTTGGAAAAAAAGACCTAATCCCTGCAGAAAATCACAACTCAAGCTCAAGAACCCATTCAGAGGGCATTGATTCAAAACTGCTAAAAAACTGCACTGTGATGAAGCATTTCAAGATGTCCAACGTCGCATTAAAGCGATTGCATGTTGCTGAATTGTATAGTTACAGTAACATCTCTTTTCAGTTTGAGCTCCAATGGATGTTGATTCACTGCGACCCAAAGAGAGCCCAGAGAGAGAGCTGCAGTGAGCTGCCTGCCACCGAGGTACAGTAGCAAGGACTCGGATCTGCTCAGCATCTGCTGTGGTTTGTGGTTTTATTCGGGTTGATAGGGCCACCAGCATGCTGAAAGCAAACAGGCCAGAAATGCTGAGATGGAGCTGCAGAAGTAAAACAAATACCTCTGCATTCATAAGTTACAACTCATCAAAAACAATCTGTCGATGAAGAGGTTTTTCAATTGTTAAATTGCAGGTTGGATTTGTAGTTTCCTTGAAAGCAGAGTGGTTTAAATCTAGGCAGACGTGATCTCATTGTTTGTGCTAAACCTCAGTGCATGGAGCCAAAACACAAAAGCCAGTAACCTAATGCAAACTTTAACAAACAAGAGGAAGTGTGATTAAAAGGGTGAGATCAGAAACTCAAACAAAGTTTGCATAGTAGCAGATTTTTGTGGTTGGGATTTCATTTAAATCTGGCACAGTATACAGCACTTATGTAAAACCTCAATGTACTACAAGGAGTGGCTTTATGACCTACAACAACTGTACTATAACAAAATGATAATGTTGTCATATCACAGTTATCAATCAGAAGGCAGCAAAAAGATAAATTAAGTCATTGCTATGAATTCGGAAAAACTGATTTTTTTACGTCGGGAGAAGGTTACAACTCCACCGCTTTTTCCACGGAGGTGCCAGAATGAAGTTCTTTGTAGGGACTTTAAGTAAAGAAGTCAACAAGTACATGGTCTTGTTAGTAGCCTACATCTATACTAAATATTATGGCCTTGACTTGTATTGCAGTGAAAATAAGTCCCTGGTTCAGCCTCATTAACTGTTGCAGCTTGATTATCAGCTGACAGGAGTGTAAACCTGCCCCCTGCTGTTTGACACCATTATAAGTGGTTGTCTATACTTTAGTGCAGGAATACAAAGCAAACTGAACCAAGTGTAGTCCAAAAAAAAAAAAGAAACATTTGTCTAATTTGCAAGTTGCCTAGTTGTATTTTGTATAGGCTAAGGGTTGTCTAGCTATATATGGTTAGAGAAATATATGTCTCTTTAACTCCAACAGTAAGATTCAAGTATAATAATAAAAGTGAAGCAAATGTTATTGCTTGACTGTTTATTTGACCCAAACAGCAATCACAAAAGCAGACCTTAGCTGCTGTAAGCTAGGCAGAGGATTACGCTGAGTCATGCTCCCTTTTCTTCTAGTTAAGCAATAGGTTCCAGACTCTGAAGGTGAATCGACCATTGAAATTAAAGTGCCCTGCAAACAAACAGAGATTTCTTACTGTCTATCATTCAAATGAATGACCCTATCATTGATGATTATCATACAACCATGTTGGCTTTTGGGATTATTTCAGCTCTAGGGATGTTAAATATATATATACATATATATTCAGCAGTGTAAACTAATTGTAAAATTGTGAGAAACTATTTGGTGTTAGAAAGACTGATTTGCACATTTATTACGAGAAGTTGGGACGATGTTATCCTCCGCGGTATATTATCATTCATTTCAATGTGGCTTTAGCACAATAAGTCAGATTTCTGCTTTAAGACACACTAGCCTATAGTGAAAATGCCACTCGGCTGTCTCACATCTCATTATGTAACAATGAATCTGCCGTGGAGTCTTTTTGTTAATTCAGTCACACGTGTCAGGTTTTAACAGCCTTCTACCCACTGTGGACAGAGATATTTCTTGGTCTGGTGCGCTCTATTAGATTCAGGCTAACATGGGGGGTGTTGGTGGAACCATGGGCTGTATAGTCAAATGGCAGCATGACATACTCACTACTGTGGTCGTGAACAGGTACGCTTCTGCTGACACTTCACGGTGAGGGTGGTGTGACTACTTTCACTAACTCTCCCTTTATCTGCTTTCTCTTGCTTCTTCAGATGTTTGCCAATGCTGAGGTATTTATTTTTCTACCCTACTTTCTTTTTGCTTTGTGATTTTAAGCCAGTAATCTACTCCAGTGCTTTGGTTGCCTAATTGCCTCAATGCTTTGTTCTTTATCTAATTCCTGGTGGTGGTTTTGTTCTTTTTTTCAGGTTTGTGTAGAAATTCATACATGTATGCACCATTTCACACTGTAAATTAATTAAGCAGCGAGAAATTCAGAATATATAAGAAATGGTCCCAATTAGAAGCTCGATCTCCTGCAGGCTGTTCCAGGGCACATGTTCTCTAAGAGACTCCATTTACAAGCATTAATGTGTTTCATGTATTTGTATCTTCCTAAAGTATATGATTGAATAGTTTCTCTCAAAATGGAGTTTTCAGTGTATCCAATTAGTTACTGACTGTGTCATTTCTTAGCCTGACAAATCAGTCCAAGGCCCCCCAGGAGCCCCTGGCCCAGAGGGCCCCCAAGGGGACCCAGGAGAGGACGGCAGAGATGGAAGAGATGTAAGTGGTTCCTCCCTGATCACAGCCCCTCTTTCTACAAAATGTCTTTGTTAGACCAACTTCAGTCAACATGCAGCTTCTCTGTCTTTGACTCTGTTGTTTTATTAATCTCTCCAGGGTCTTCCAGGTTCTCCTGGCAGTCCAGGCACTCCTGTAAGTATAAAGCGCTAAATGATTCACTGACAAAATACTCGCAGCCTCTTGATGCATTCTCAGTCTCTTTGTGTGCGCTCACTAGTTTTTAGTTTGTTTGCCATCTCATACCTCAGGAGAGGGATTCCCTTTGTGCTCAAGTATTACACAAGTTCAAAATAGATTTGTCCCAGACTATACGACTCAATCCGTGCACTTATTTTAATATTCTGATATTTTAGTTGAATCAGAAAAAAGTTATTTTGGTCATGTCCCACTGCTAGAATTCCGATTTGTTGAATACAATAAAATTCAAATGAAGCCGTTTTATATAGATATTTGGTGACAGAGTAAAAAAAAAAAAAAAAATGTATGAGTGTTTGAATGACACTGCAGCTCTACTCAGGCTTTTAATCTAAACTCAAACCTACCCAAGCAGTCACAGTGACAGACACAGAAGTAATATTGAACAAAGTGATATGTAAACAATATGATCAACTAAAGAAATCACTCAGAATATTATTCATATAATAATATTCAGTCCTGAATGTTCTTTAAATAAACAGGAATTTAGCTTTATTACAGAGTGAGTAGTTTTCTCTTATACTGTAGATTAAAGCTTGATTTATATAAATGTCAATCAAACCGAAATGTTTAATTAATGAATCAGGGGAAATATTAACAATGTGTAGATAATTTCTAAAATTAAAGAGGGTTTAGTTTTTATTCGTATTAATTCTGAATTGTAGAGATAGACGAGAGTTAAAGCATCAACTTTGTCAGGAATCAAAGAACCTATTATCAATTTAAAAAAAGTGATGCATTTATTCAGCGTGATAAAATCTCCCTCTGTTTGAAGCTCTGTTTTTGAAAATAGTCACATTGTAGAGTAAAAACTATATAAAAATAAATATATATATATATATATATAAGATACATCACTTCATTTATTATCTTATTCTAAACCTGCTCTGAAGCAGGTTAGCAGTTCAGCATCAACGTTACCATGGTGATTTACCCCGTTAAGAAGTGAACCAGCTTCATAACTCAGAGTTCAACCTGGAGTTACTTTGATAACCACAGATCCTGCTTTGTAGCACAGGCCCCAGGGATCAGACAAACAGGCTGCATCTTTACTTACCGTCCATTTGATCATAGACGGAGAATCAGTCCAGGAAAGACAAATATCCAGGAACCAAGGAAGGGTCACACACAAGAACATGTGTGTTGATGAGGGCAACAAACATTGTGGAGCAGGAACACACACTAAGGGGTTTCTCTGTGGGAAGTACAGGGGCAGGACAAGACAGGTAACAGGTGTGTTTGTCAAGTGGCTAAAGACCAGGAACTACGAGGACAGGAAGTGTTAGTATTGCTACGAAATAAAACAGGAAATGCAAATATAAGAGGGAAAAACAAACGGAATATGATATACGGAATATATATAAGAAGGTGAAGCCAGTAAGATGCTCTTAATGGATATATTTCTATGGAAATTGCCAATATAGTTTTCAGATGCCTCTTATCTGTGTTCCTGTTTCACATATATATGTACAGTATATATAACTGCAGGAAGGAAAACAAGTATCTTATCTCTCTGTAATCATTGTATTGGACTGTAATTGGTTTTAATGTATTTATTTTTCTCACACACAACAAATACAAATGTGACAAAAAGTATTTTCACTGACACATAAAAGTCCTTGAAACCTTTTAGCAGCTGACACTGACTGGAGGCATTGTGTCATGTACACCGGTGTCTCTGTCATTTGATGTAGCTGTAATCTTGTCTGGCCCATTTGTTTTCTGCATAGTCTCATGCAGATCTTAGAAACAATGACAGTGGCCCACCTTCCATTGATTAAATGTGAACTGTCACTGCCTCTGTGTATCTTAGCAACAGGGCGGAGATTCAGGAAGATAAAGCTGTTTTATTCTTGTTGTGTCTGTTTCCCAGGGCAGCAAAGGGGAGCAGGGGGAGATCGGTCTTCCTGGGCAGAGAGGCCTGCCTGGTCTTCCAGGAGTCGCTGTAGGAAACAACATCCACTGACACACACTCTTTATAATATCTGCCATTGTGTGTGTGGGAGTGTGTGTGTGTGTGTGTGTGTGAGTGTGTGCAAGTTTAATAGTGTTAGGGGGTAAAATGATGACATGCTGACTTGACTGTGTGGTTGTTGTCTGCAGGGTACTTCTGGTCCAATGGGTCCCAGAGGGCCTGTGGGAGAGAGAGTGAGTAAACTTCACAATCACTTCAGATCAGACAGTTATAAAAAAAAGTCTGTTTTTGGACAAAGTGACAATTTGACTGATTCCTTTGTTTCCTTTAAGGGTCTACCAGGGTTTCCTGGACCTGCAGGTCCTCCTGTAAGTGAGAACATCTCTTCGTAAAGCAATGTGCATGTAGACGACAGTGTAAACTGCTTAAACCTGACATATACACGTATCTTACTCTGTCTCATGTTTCACAGGGCCCAACAAGTGAGGGACCTGCTGTACGTGTTTGCAACAACTTCTATCTTATTCACAGACTTACACACAGCAACTAATGTTCACCTATACTAACGTCTGTGTGTGTTTGGGTTTGTAACAGGGACCAGCAGGAAAACCAGGAATCCCAGGAGATGAGGGAAATATCGGGCCTGAGGTCAGTCTGAATTAAATTAAATTAATTAATGTTTAAAAAAAAAATGTAAAAAATAGTGAGAGGTGGAAAGTAACTAAGTTCTTCTTAGTGTTTGTTTAGTGTTTAGTACAATTTTGACATTCTTGCAATTGACATAAGCATATGTCCATTTTTCAGAGACAAATACACAAGCACATAATAACACACTTTTTTCACTACCTCCTCGGATATGATAAAATAAAATATAACATATTGTTGAAGATTAACCTGAGGTCTTCAAAATGTTTTGGGATTTGTGATATCACTCATTCAGCAGCTACATATTTTAATATATTATGACATATTACATAGATGTTTGGTAATGTTTCTGCACAGTGATTAACCTTACTTTTATATTTTACTGATTATACTCCAGTAATTTCACTTGAACGATACATTACTTCTTTTTTAGCAATACAACTTCTTCCACCGCTGGCATAAGTACTATAAAGATTCCTGACTGCATCAAAGTGTATAATCTGAACCAAACATATGCTTATATGAGGTTGCACTTAGCTATGACATTGAGTGTATTGTATAACCCTAACCCTAAACAAGTTCTATATTTTGATTCAAATGTTCTGATTACTCTTCTTGTACTGGCAGGGTCCACCTGGACCCAGAGGGGGGCCAGGGACCCCGGGGCCTTCTGGCCCTCCAGGTCCACCAGGGCCTGTGGTAGGAACCAGATCTAACCTTTGTTTTGTTGACTGTTCATTTCCTATAACTTTCCATGTTTCGTGTTCATCCATCAGGGTTTTGAGAGCCTTATGCAGATACAGATATTTGGATGTTTTTACATTTACATATGTCACACGAATGAAACACATTTCATGACACATTGCACAGTGTAACCAGATGTTTGTATGAAATCTTTAAAATAAATTAAATACATTGAAATAATAAATCAATCCCTACACCCTGTTATGGTAAGAAAAAAGAACTGCAGTATTCCACTGACTGTATCATGCCACAGTTGACAAAGCTAAATTATCAGTATCTGCATGTCTGTAAATTAAAGCTCAATATCAGCCACAGTCTGTATATTGATCACCTGATGTCTGGGTGTAACCTCAGCAGCCCTCATACTAATTTCTCTATTTGGACACTCTGACATTTCTTCTTGATCTCGTGTATCCGTGTCAAATCTTGAGTTTCTGATGGTGTTGCATGCTGCAGTCTCTTTTCTCATCACCTCTCTGGGACTCTCTGCTGTGGTGGATTGTTTTCCATGTCTCTCTGCTGTCTTTTAGGGACCGCCTGGTGCCAGCAATGAGGGGAGTGGGGAACCTGTGAGTGTTTTACTGCCAAATGTTTCCTGGATGCATGGCAATTGGATTGGTGACAGTGAATTTCCTATCCGAATGACTCATTGGCGTTAAAGAGGCTGTGTTGCAGCAGCAGCAGCAGCTGCCTGCACGCTTGTTGAGCATCTGGCTGTCAGTTTAGTGCCATGTCTCACTTCTGTCCTGTCCGCGTGTGTTTATAGTGTCCTGCTGCCTGTCCTGCTGGACCTCGGGGGATGGCTGGACTACCAGGGCTGAAGGTGAAGTAATAAAAACAACAACACTACATTCCACTAGTTTATTTCTCTAAGGGTTTTGTTTTAACTCTTACTTGCTGCTGCAGTTAATGCTGCAGTTTCAGTTTGCATGCCCAATTTTTTAGTTTTCAGTTTTCACCTCTGCCCATTTGTTTGAGATAATCTTGGTTTTTAAAGTATAGATTGTATATAAACATGGATAAAGTGAGCTGGTTACTAGTTCTTGTTATATTAGACCTCAGTACAGCCCCATATAGCCACAAGCA